AGTGAAGAGATGATCATTTAGTGCAAACAGAACCTTTGCCCTGATGTCTCTGAGCATAGCTAGTTCATGTAATTAGAATTTTTGAATCTATTTGAAATCTGTCATTGCAGTTTATAAATGGATGTAAGCATTTGAAAACCTTGGAGTGAAAGTCTACACATTTTTCTCAAATGTTGAGCTAGCTCAAACTATATGCTTTGAATATCAGGTAGGCCATACTCCTTCAACTCTTGTCTCCCCCATCTCATTATTTCTAATAAAAAATATCTTTATAGAGTTTTCCTATTTTTGCACTACTCCACTCCTAAATTCCCTCTCCATGTTTTTGCTCTGCTTCATTTAGTTTTTTTTAAAAAAGGCAGTGTAGAATGTTTGGTATAACCTTAATCTTGGCCAGCACCTGTAATCTTTTTTTCAAAAAAGTGTATAAACATGTGTGTGTATGTGTGTGGTGTGCAAGTGTATTCTGGGGTTAAAAAGTATAGGAGTGAGGGGCCGGGGACTGAGCTCTGTGGTTTCGCAGTCTGCTGCGCAAGTGCAAGGACCAGAGTTCGATCCCCGGTACCAAAAAAAAAAAAACAGAGTATAGGAGTGAAAGTCTTCAATACAATACAAATGTCCCTTGTTATCCAGGTTCTGTCTATATTTTAGTTGTTTAGAAAATGTTTCTCCTGTTGTTTCTGTTAAATTTTTCTCATATTTTGGCATCAAGCACAAAAACATGATGTCAGAGGTATGTGTATATGGGTACACATATGTGTGGTAGAAGTGAGAGGGAGACAGTGCAGTGTGTGTAATGGTGAAGAACTTACCAAATTAATTAATCTTCAATTAGAAGATCACTGAGGATATGAATCACTCACAGGCAGTCAAAAGATATTAGTGAATGGCTGTGGCTCAGCGTGACTGCTCTTTTTTGCCATTGCATTTAGTCCTAGCACTGTTGTTATTGCAGGGCTCTCCTGTGAACTTTATTGTGGAGCTTTAGACATTTCTACTGCCAAGAAATAGCAATAAATGCAATTCTAGGAGATAGTTAAAGCAAGGAACAAGGTCCTTGATGAAGTTTATAAATATGGCTTTGGTATGATCTTACTACTAGCAGTAATTACCTTAAGAATAACATGCTCAGAAGATCTCTGAGCCTCAGTAGAAGACCAATTTTGGTGGAAATTGGGTCAGTACACCACGTGCAACTCAAGGATTGCTGAAGATGAACAGGTGCATGGGGAAAAATTGCTTCATCATAAAAGGGAGTATTCGAGGTACAGGATGCATGTCTACAATACTTGGTTATGCTTATAAAGTGATTTCTGTCTAATCTCTTTATAATCACTGGCAAACTGCTAAGGATGCATTACTGAAAATCCTCAATTGCCAATCAGGTTTTAACTACCTTATCTCTAAGTTTCTTCTTAGAGAGTGTCTCATGGGGTACCTCAACAATGACTGCTACTTCATAAAAAACCAGAGGGTAAGTGTGGAGTCAAAGAACATCTCTTTTCTAAAACATTTTGAACTTCTAACTTCAGCTATGCTATAGGTGCAAAAACATCAACCATGAATTCTAGTCTTTGCTAGTCAGAAGGTAGCTGTGATTGGCTGGGTGGGGGGAAATACATAAATGAGCACTTGGACTTTGTTTTGAGGTCAAAAGGGACCATTAAAAGTATTCAGTCTAGGGCCAGGGATTTAGCTCAGTTGTTCTGCCGCCTGCCTCGCAAGCCAAGGACCCGAGTTCGATCCCTGGTACCAAAAAAAATTCAATCTATGTCTTATTCTTGGTGTTTGAGACAAAAAATAGTCCCTAATATTGCATAGCCTTGTGCACTCTAGTGTTTGAGAGTGTAGTATGAGCCAGGTAAGATGGTATGAGCCTGTGGTTCCAGCTACTTGGGAGGCTGAGTTGGAAGGAGTATGATTACAACACCATCTTGGACAACATGGGGAGAACTCACTTTAAGAAAAAAGAAAAATGGGCCGGGGATTTAGCTCAGTGATTTCATCGCCTGCTGCACAAGCACAAGGGCCCAAGTTCAATCCCCAGTACCAAAAAAAAAAGAAAAAAGATGGGCTGAAGATTTAGCTCAGTGGTTCCTCTGCCTGCCTCGCAAGTGCAAGGTCCTGAGTTTGATCCCTGGTACACCCCCCCCCCCAAAAGAAAAAGAAAAACAAAAAGTGTAGTTTGTAGATAGGCTCTATTATGAAAACACATTGTGATAGTGTGTATGTATACTTCAAAATTGTTTGTTGTTGTTATTGTTGTGTGTTTGTGGTACTGGAGCCTTCACACTGAATTATATTCTGGCATTTTTCTTTTTTTAAATTTTGAGACAGAAGCTCCATAAATTTCTGTGATTGTTCATTGTGGCACGTCAATTTGATTGGATTAAGAAATACTTATATACACTTTTGGGTATGTCTGAGTGGGTCAGTCAGGAAGGTGTGGCTTTGGGTAGTATACATGGTCTCTGGCCCCCTTCTTCTCTGGCATTGTGCCCTTGCTCTGCTTCCTGGCCTCCGTGAACTAAGAGGCTTTGTTTCACCATGGCCTTTCCCCATGATGTTTCTACCTTGGAAACCATGGACTCAATCCCCTCAACTGTAAGCCAAGTTAAACCTCTCCTCCTTTAAGTTGTGGGTGTTGGGTATTGTGTCCCAGTGATGGGAAAGCCGACTAATACAATTTGCTAAGTTGCCTGGGCTGAGCTGGAACTTTCTATCCTCCTGCCTCAGCCTCCCTAGTGCTGAGTTACAGGTATCAGCCACCATGCCACGCTTCAGTGCTGTTTTTACATGGTCTGATGAAGTGCACTGGGTTATTTCCTCCTTTGCTTCCTGTTTTCTTTCTCTCCCACAGCAAGCCTGGAAGGGCAACAACACACCTCTACAGAAACCTCTAATAGTCTCTTCAGAGAGGAGGCCAATAAGAACCAAGTTGGTGCTCCTCACATCTCTCTGGTAGCTTCTGAATCTAGGTTCAATGTTAAGTTTCAGAAAAGAAATGTGGGAGAAGGCCCAAACTCTATAATCTCCTGGTAGCTTTCTCTTGGTGTCTTTGGTTGCCCCCCTCCCCATACCAGGGATCGAACTCAGGACCTAGTGCTTGCAAGGCAGGCATGGCACCACTGAGCTAAATCCCTAGCCCTCCTTGGTGCCTTTGGTAAGTTCTTCATTTCCCTGGAGTGGAGCACTACACCACACCCACCACTGCTACTGCTGCAGTGATCAGTCATGAGACTGGCTTTTTTGTTTGGCCCATTTTTTCTTTGGAAAAAGTCATTTTCTGTAGGGAGAGATGGGATTAAACCGTATTAAGGCTAGTCAGAATGTTTTCTGAGAGCCATTCACTTCCCCTGTCTTATGTCTAATAAATTCCTTTGGATTTTGGTTCTTGCACAAAAAGCCTAGGATGATCAGGCTGGAGGATTCTCTTGAGGTGGTTGCGCTGCAGAGAACAAGCAGCATATTTGCTTTTCTAGCCACCTATCCTGTTTCACAGGATTGAATGCCCACCTCCCTCCATTTTGTCTGTGACTGCACTATGTTCTTTCCAAGTCTCTTCTACAGAATTTGTGAAGGAGCAAAAGACTCCATTCCAGATCCACTCCAGAGTTGATGTGAAAATCTTCCCCACTCAGACTCTCTCCCATCTCAGTAAAATGGCAGTATTAAGGCTTTATGCAAGCAAGAGCTAAAAAAAAAAAAAAAAGAAAAAAAAAAGGCCCACATAGAATATTTGACTCTCCTGGCTTCCTTCTGCATACTTAACTTTCAGAAATTTCCCCTACAATTCTTTTATATGTGTGAAATTCTTATAGGTTGGTTTTAAAAGACAAAACAAAACAAAAGCAACCTACACTGGTTTAATATGGGACATCAGAGACAACAGACTACCCGTTCCTGGGCAATAGCCTTCTATATTAAGATTGGTGACTACTTTTCCTTGTGTTTGTTAATGTTGTTGGTGTTTACCCCCTCCAAATCTAAAGGCAGCTTAGTGTTACAAGTTGCAAGTACAAAACGTGATGCTAGGGAGCAAACTCAGGGAGTCTTGCTAAGCATGCACTTTACCATTGAGCTACACCTCTTGTCCAAGTTTTTCTTCTGTTTGTGTCTTTATTTATTGTATTGAGGATTAAACCCAGAGCCTTTGCATTGAACTACATCCCTAGCCCTTTGAGGTTTTTTGTTTGGTTTTGTTTTTACATTTTGAGAACAGGATATTGCCAGTTTACTAAATTGTGCAGGCAGCCCCCTATGTAGCTGGGATTTCAGGCATGTGCCACTGTCCCCAGTCCAAGTTTTTCTTTTGATGGAGTGTAAAGTGGTTATCAAGCTTCTTTCCAAGTAGGTTTTTTTCTTCTTTTTTGGAGGGTGGGGATGCACTGAGGACTGAACCCAGGGTCTCACATTCTAGGTAAATGCTCTGCCACTGAGCTATGTCCCCAGCCCCTAAGTAAATTTTTTATATACTATTTTTGTATCACCTGGTGAACAAAAATCTTCAGTGAGACTCATCAGAAATGAGAAATCCAAAATCCTGATTTGTCCAGTGGTTTTAGAAGCTCCAGTCCCATACTTGTTTTCTATTTTTAAATGTTAGCAATTATATTGTTTTCTCAAAAAAAAAAAAAAAGGCTCACCAGTGAACTGAGTGAATGCAGAGATTGTACCACAGTATTAGAGTGTGAGAGACGAGGCACTTATTCCTTTTGTTAGATTGACCCTGGGTGTTGTATTTTATTTAAAGCCTGCCACAAATCAGACACGGTTGAACCTTTCTTTTACTTTTGCAGGACCGGGATCAAACCCAGGGACCCGTGGATCCTAAAGGAACGCTCTACCACTGAACCTTACTTATTTTATTTTAGTTGTAGGGGAGGTGGTGATGAGAATAATTCTTATTTTATATCGGTACAAGATTAGCTAGTTGACTTATGCCTATAGCTATTTTTTCATTGCTGCTTTCTTTGAAAAAAAAAAGTCTTACTCAGAAATTAGCATTTCTTCAAATGTACATTCTCCTAAATTGTTTATTAAGGCTTTCCAGCGGAAAAGGGATCTAGAAAAGCTGCTGTTGTGTGTCCACCAAGCTTGAGATCTCCTGGTTCTCTCTTTTGGGTACCCAGGTCCTTGCCAGGCACAATTTTACCGCGAAGAGCTTTTGAGAGCCATTCGGACTCCATTCCATTTTTTCTCCGTGCTAATCCAGTTCGTATTTTACTGCTCTTGCCTGGGAGCCGGGAAGAAAATACATCCCCTTGACTCTCGCTTCAATCCACTTTCCTCGCTTAATATGCAGCCCAAAGTTTTGCAGCTCGCTGTCAGATGGTACTGCTAGACTTTCACACTGATCCCAAAGCCTCCGCTGGCGCTGTTTCTTAACACGGAGTTACAAACTTTAAGAAACAGACGGCTCCAGACAGAAATCCACGCCAGGCTTTGAACTCTACTTCTGGCTTCCGTCAACTGACACAGTTGCCCTTTTGCTCAAACTCGCCGCTCCAGTTCGCACTTGGGAGCGCTCGCTCGGCTGGGCGTCTGCCTCTGGGTCGCGGCGGGAGCCTGCTGGGGGCCACAGCTCCGAGCCGCGCCGACGCTCCGCTCCTCAGCCAGAGCTCCACGCGGCCCGCCCTGGGGTCCCTAGGTTTAAGACGGAGTGGGGGCCGGGGCTGGAGAGACGACCCCCAGTTTTTGTTGATTTGAGGAATTTTGTTATTTCAGACGTTGAGGGGAAACAAACGGTCTGACAGGAAGGACCGTCCTCCCTGCGTGCGTTCCGCTCTCCTAGCAAAGCCTCCAGGCCCTGTTTCCACATTTTGCAGTTGACTGTGTGGGATTTTCATAGGTCATCCCTTTAGGCTTGGGCCCAATCCATAGCACGCTGTGTAGCCTGATAAAATGAAGAGCACATCCTCTGCCATTTTCAGCCGGTGGGTCCCGGCAGCCCTGCCCCCTTCCTTGGCGGCCGCAGCCACTGGAGTTCCTGGGCCCCGAAACTCCACCTGATCCGCGCGGCCGGAGATCCAGTCCGCGTTTGCCGAATGCCTTGCGGACTGGCTAGATGATAAAATTCTCCTGTGAGGAAGAGCGAGCGAGACTTTAGTCCGGTTTCCATGTCAACGATTCAGTCCATATTTGCCATCAGGCTGTTGTTGGTGGCAGAGGCGCTTTCGCGAGGGGTGCGCTGTCCTAGTCCTAGTTCTCTAATCTGTGCCGGGATTCCTGAGCTGCCTAGGTGTGGGGTTAAAAGGCAGGGGCCGTGGGGGAAAAAACTCCACCGAGAGGAGGACCCACTGCCTCTAGTCGGGGTCTCGCAGCTCGGGCCAGCCACGTGCCCGGCTCCTCCCCTCCCCCTCCCGCGTCTCCGGTGCCCCTAGGGAAAGCGGATGGGCCAGTTTCTAAGAAAGTTCCTCAGCCCAGCGGTCCTGGGTTAAAGGTGTGGGTCTCTAAAAATGGGAGCGGGAAAATACCTTAGATCGCCTAAAAAAAAAAAAGTGGGAAAGGAGAAATCCCGCATTAACACTTCCGACCCAAGTGGACGGATTTCTGTGCACTTATACCTTAGTGCTAGATTAAAATGAATTTTTTTCTCTTCAAAACACCGTGCCCTCATTTAGGGAAAGGGATTTTGGCGCTTTCCGTACTTCACAGCCGTTGAAGGAAAGCGATGAGGGCATTCTTTGGAGACAAACCCATTCTGCTTTCCAGATTTTCACTGGGCTCCTGGTTTCCCATTACATCCCAGCTCTCAGGAAAATGGCAGGGTAATTGCATATAAAAAATTCCTCATTTGTGTGCAGGACTCAGGACTGTTTGCCAGCTCTGAGGCAATTGATTAAATAGCCAAGCTCCATTTATGAGGCAGCCTATAATTTGCTTTTCTAGGACCTAATGCACCAGGAGAGTTGTTGCCCCCTGAGGGCTGTGAGTAAAAGGAGGGCACTGGCCCACACCAGTCAGTTGGATCTCCTGGGAAGGCTGGTTTGGCTCTGGGCTGGGGAAATCTCACTTCTTTACACTGACAGGAAGGCTTTGCCTTTATAGAGTAGGATGTTCTTAGTTTTCTTGGGAGAAATTTGGGAGTTTGAAATTATTCATGTTGATCACAGACACAGAACTCAACAGGGCTCAGATAATGGTCTGTGGCCAAGAAGTCTACGTTTAGAAAAACTAAGGGCACACCTGTAATTCCAGCTTCTCCGGAGGCTAAAGCATGAGGATGGCAAGTTCGAAGCTGGCCAGGGCAATTTAGGGCAATCCTGTTTTAAAACAAAAACGGATAGGGATGCAGCTCAGTGGTAGAGTATGACCCTGAGTTAGATCCCCCCCCCAAAACCCCTCAAAAACTGAGGAGAAAGAGCCTGTGGGGCTTTGGTGTATACTGAGGCTGGTCTGGGCCTTTCCCAAGGCAGCTTTGGGCCTAGTGAGAAGTTGAAATCCCCTCTGCCTCTCCTAGGCTGTCAAGTCAGTGTTCTAAGTCAGCCTGAGGAGGAAAGGACTGCTGAAAAGACTGTTGGGATTTGGTGGGTCCCATAGATCAGGAGAACACTGGGGTTTTCTACCAATGTCTTGATCTTTTCAGATAAATCTGGCCTTAGGGTCTCTTAGAATGTAATGGTAAACTTTAAAGAAATTTTACACTGCAGGATAGAAAACAAATCTGAGTGGCCTCCATTTTCTGTGTGACCTGTTAGACTATACCTTTTCTTTAAAAGGTCTGTATTCCCTCTTCTGAAGTGGTTTTTTGAAACACTCACGTTCCAGCAGTCCACGGAGCCTCTTTTCTGGGCTGTTTATACTTTCAGGTACTGTCTTTGGAAATGATGCACTGGTCATTTCGAGCTATAAGTTCTCTTAGGAAGTGATAATGGAGTTTGGACTGCTTGACTCTGTCCCCAAAGCAGCTTCAGAGGCTACCATTTGAAGTCAGTGGTGAGATGACCAGTTCGATTTCGAACCCTTTCTGCCACTCTGCTCACTGTTGGATTTGCTCACAACTTGAATACTTTCCTTTTTTCTTTTTAAAGGCTAAGTATACAGGAGGCAGTTTTGGAGACTTCACTTCTTCTTATAGCCACTTTCCTCTGACCTCTGACTTTTAGGAGACCTGGGCAGTCCCCTCCCTTTGTCTTTCAATTCTGTAAAACTGGGATAATCTGGACCTCTTGCCCTCAGGGCCTTGTCAGGACCAGCTAACGTGGACAGAGCAGAGGAAAACTGATAGTCTGAACAAAGATCAGTCCTTCCTTCGGGCTTGCCAAAGGGGGTGAAAAGCAGGGTCTTTAGAGAAAGTCTGCAAAAGGCTTTGAAGAAAAGTGCTGTAGAGGTGCTAAGTAGCAGCCAAGAAACCAGGCCCGCTGCCAGGTGTGTGTGGGGGGGTGTCAGGCTTGGGCCAAAGCGGCCGCGGTCTCGGGCTCTGGCCAATTTTGCAGGCGCGGGTAAAGTTCACGCTGCCCGCTCCTCTCGGTGCGGCCGGGAGGGGACAGGCCAGGACAGGAACGCCGCGAGGGAGGCGGCGCGGGCTCCGGAGAGGCGCGAGCTCCGGGCCGGGTTTTCCCCGAAGCCTCCGGCGGCGGCGCAGCCCAGCGAGAGCGGCTGAGGGCCTGCCGCCGCCGCGGTTCGTTCTCTCCCCTCCTTCTTTGTGAGGGGAAGGGAGCGAGTCCGTTCCACAGCCGGCGCCCGCTCCGCGCTCCACTCCGGGTTTTCCAGGCGGCCGCGACGGCGCTGGGTAAAATGGCAGTGCTGAGCCTCGTGTCGGAGTGAGGGGGACTCGGAGGAGAGCGGGGCGCTCTAGCCGTTCAGCCCGGCCGCCCGCCTGCTCGCCCGCTCGCGGCCGCGCAGCAGCCTCGGGCCGAGCCGCGGCCAGGGAGGGGAGGCAGGGCACCGCGCCCGCTCGGCCGGACTCTGCCTCCCGGCGCCGGGGCTGCCGCCGCGCGCCCTCCAGCCCGCCCGTCCCGGCCCCCTCCCCCGCTCCCTCCCTCTCGCCCGCCCCCTCCCCCCGCTCCTTCCCTCCTCCCTCCTCCTTTCTCCGGCAGCAGAAAGCGGAGAGTCACAGCGGGGCCAGGCCCTGGGGAGCGGAGCCTCCACCGCCCCCCTCATTCCCAGGCAAGGGCTTGGGGGGAATGAGCCGGGAGAGCCGGGTCCCGAGCCACCAGTGCCGGGAGCAGCTGAGTCGTCGGCGCCTCGGCCGCCGCCGCCTCCTCCTCCTCCGCCGCCGCCGCCAGCCCGGAGCCTGAGCCGGCGGGGCGGGGGGGAGAGGAGCGAGTGAGCGCAGCAGCGGCGGCGGAGCCCCGCGAGGCCTGCCCGGGCGGGTGGGGAGGGCGGCCCGCGGGACTCGGCCCCGGGGCGGGGTGGGAGGGGGGGAGAAGACGAAGACAGGGCCGGGTCTCTCCGCGGACGAGACAGCGGGGATCATGGCCGCGCAGGTCGCCCCCGCCGCCGCCAGCAGCCTGGGCAACCCGCCGCCGCCGCCCTCGGAGCTGAAGAAAGCCGAGCAGCAGCAGCAGCAGCAGCGGGAGGAGGCGGGGGGCGAGGCGGCGGCAGCAGCGGCCGAGCGCGGGGATATGAAGGCAGCCGGCGGGCAGGAGAGCGAGGGCCCTGCCGTGGGGCCGCCGCAGTCGCTGGGAAAGGAGCTGCAGGACGGGGCCGAGAGCAATGGGGGTGGCGGAGCCGGCGGCGGCGGGCCGGGCGCGGAGACGGACTTGAAGAACTCGAACGGGAACGCGGGCCCTAGGCCCGCCCTGAACAATAACCTCGCAGAGCCGCCCGGTGGCGGCGGCGGCGGCAGCAGCGATGGGGTGGGGGCGCCTCCTCACTCGGCCGCGGCCGCCCTGCCGCCCCCCGCCTACGGCTTCGGGCAGCCCTACGGCCGGAGCCCGTCCGCCGTGGCCGCCGCCGCGGCCGCCGTCTTCCACCAACAACATGGCGGACAACAAAGCCCTGGCCTGGCAGCGCTGCAGAGCGGCGGCGGCGGCGGGGGCCTGGAGCCATACGCGGGGCCCCAGCAGAACTCGCACGACCACGGCTTCCCCAACCACCAGTACAACTCCTACTACCCCAACCGCAGCGCTTACCCCCCGCCCCCCCAGGCCTACGCGCTGAGCTCCCCGAGAGGCGGCACTCCGGGCTCCGGCGCGGCGGCGGCCGCCGGCTCCAAGCCGCCTCCCTCCTCCAGCGCCTCCGCCTCCTCGTCGTCGTCGTCCTTCGCTCAGCAGCGCTTCGGTGCCATGGGGGGAGGTGGCCCCTCCGCGGCCGGCGGGGGCACCCCCCAGCCTACCGCCACCCCCACCCTCAACCAACTGCTCACGTCGCCCAGCTCGGCCCGGGGCTACCAGGGCTACGCGGCGGGCGACTACGGCGGCGGGCCCCAGGACGGGGGCGCGGGCAAGGGCCCGGCGGACATGGCCTCGCAGTGCTGGGGGGCCGCGGCGGCGGCGGCGGCGGCGGCGGCGGCCGCCGCCTCGGGAGGGGCCCAACAAAGGAGCCACCACGCGCCCATGAGCCCCGGCAGCAGCGGCGGCGGGGGGCAGCCGCTCGCCCGGACCCCGCAGGTACCGAGCCAGGTGGGGAGGGCGCCGGGCCGGGGCGGGGGGCGGCTTCGGGGAGTGGGCCGCGGCCGTGGGCTCCCCTCAGTCCCGGGCCTCCACTGCCGGGGAGCTGCCATTGTCTGGCTCTTCTCTCTTAAAATGGCTGCCTGTCTGCCTTCCTCTCCTTCCCTCCCTCGGTCTTTGTGTGGAGCTTCTCCGGAGGTGTCTGTTCTGCTTCTCTCTCTCGCCCGGTCCCTTCGAACTTTAGGGGTCTTCAGGGGGGTGCGGGGCCGAGTGTGCCCAGAAGGGCCTGGCCTGGGCGAGGGGGTGCTGGGGCTCAGGTTAAGGGTGTAGGCAACTGTAGGAGCCCGGGAGTTGGGCGAACGTTTCCTTGCTCACCTGCCGCTCCTCTCTATCCCCCCTCCCCTGCCTTCCTTGAGCCTGCCCCCCCCCCCCGTGTGTTTTCAGAGAGGGGCCCCTCGGGCTCGAGGGAGACCGGGGTCCTGTTTGGGGGCAACTAGCGGCCGGCAGGGGTTCACCCAGGGCCGTCAGTGCCATCTCCTGCCGTAGTCTCTGCCGGCCCAGTGGCCTGGGCCTCTCTGGAAGTGGTGGTAAACAGCTGAGTGATTGGAGTAGTAAGTGCAGATTGCTTTGGTTTGGGATTTGAATTATGGAGGTAAAATCCTTCTGTCAAAGCCAGGAGACAGTTGGTCTTAGGTTGACATCCTATCTGTGATCTGATTGGCTCCCCATCTCCTGCTCTTGGCCATTTATAATTGCCTCTGATGTAATGGTACAACAATCCTGATGAGCTCATAAACTTTTACACTCTGCTTTTCTGCCAGTGATAACCCAAACCATCGGTGCCACTATCTGCCTTTTTATTTCAGAGCTGAAATTGGCTGTGACCTTGAAGAGGGAGGTTTAAGCAGCAATACTGTATCAGCAGGAACAGAGCCCCAGACAGGCTGCCCTTGTTACATTGTGCCTGAAACAAAAGAGGAGGCAGTGGTGTTTTGCTTGTACCTTGGATTTATTTTACTTGTTATGTTTTATGCAGCCTGAAATAGATTCTGTGTTGTCAGAACAGTAGCTGAGTTTTTCTCTACAATGGGTTTGCTGTTTGTTTTGGTTTTGTGACTTTCCTAATAGTATAAATGACTTCTTTGATGGCTCTGAAGATGCGTTTGTCTTGAGTAATTTTGACACTGTTCACTTTGCAGAGCTGAAATTATTTTACTGGGCTTTTTATTGAGTGGCAAATGTGGAAATCTGTATGGGGGGAGAAAACGTTTTTTGTTATGTTTGTTTAGAACTGGGGGCTGCGAGAATTTCACATTAGGTTCAAGTGCTCCCTTGTAAGCAAGGCTGGTCTCATTCTTTGTTTACATGTTGAATCTTGTTTATACTTTCTTTTGTTAATTGAACTTTGGGGGAGTAGTTCAGTCCTTCTAAAGGCTTGGTTTAGTGAAATCGGCGGTTTGTTCCTGGAATATCGAAAAGACTAATTTTCTGTTTTGTCATCAGTTGTTTTAGAGGTTTGAAATAGATTGGCTTATTTTTCAATTTCCATTTTAAGTTATGTTTCATTTTTTTCCTGTCTTACAAGATGTAAAGACATGTCTCACAATGACACTTATGTTTAGCTTAAAAATTACAACTTTTAGGTAACTTCTAATACATTCTATTTTATTTATATTTAGTTTTCTTAGTTCATCAGTGCTTTAGTCAGGAATATCCGGTATTCCATGAAACCATGTATCTTTTCAAAGAGGGGAAATCTCGCATGCCCTCATTCACAGCAATTGTACCATTGTGCTAGGAGATTTTTGTTCACTTAGGACAAAGGCAATAAGTGGTTGTGTTTTCTTCCTATCCTAAAACTACTTTTCTATTCTTCTAGTGAGTTTGGGATTTTGAAAATAGCTGTGTTATATACTGTAATGGGCATAGAGCTCTGCCTTGACTCTGTATCTTCCCTGATGTTCTTCAACTGAGTGAAAAATGGGAAAATGCTAAATTGTTTTTATGAGGCCTGGAGGGTAAGATTTGTCTTAGAAGACAAACTATCTTCCTGTCTCTCGGTCATTCTGTAATCTACACTTGTTTCCCCTGTCTTTCTGTTTTGCTGAAAAATTTTACTTTTATTGAAAACTATTAGAGGAAATTATTTGGGGTAAGTCAAGGGTCATTTTTAAAGCACAATTGATTTGCGTTCTGTTGGTTTGGAGATATTTAGGGCAGAGTTCTGTTTTGTTTTAATCCAAGTTTTGCTGTATAATGGTTGTCTTTTAGTTATTAAATAATTGAGTATTTTCTATGTGTTTAGGTACTATTCTCTGTTCTGTCCTAGGTAAATAATAGGAAGATAGATACTGTCCCTGTTGAGAAGCCTGTCAGTGCTGCTGTTGGATAATTTCCTGATCCTGCTTTAATATCACCAGATCTAGCACTCTACAAAGTAGATTGCTATTCAATTTCAGTTCAGTTATTTACTCCCCTGATACCGAGGGAATGGGCTGGTGAGCATTCACTTGTCGAGAGTGCGCGCTTTAGTTTTGAGGGATTTCTCAGGTGTGTAGTCTAGGTCAGAGGTGTAAGAGTGTAAATTTTGCTTTGAGTTCTTTGCTACTTGAGGATAAACCTCTTGTCACACCATGATGCCTTGGTTTTAGCAGTTCTTTTTTTGGTACCGGGGATCGAACTCAGGTCCTTGCACTTGTGCAGCAGGCGGCGAAACCACTGAGCTAAATCCCCAGCCCAGCAGTTCTTAGATAATATAGTCTTTTCTTTTGGTACTGGGGATCGAACTCGGGACCTTGTGCTTGCAAGGCAGGTGGTGGAACCACTAAGCTAGATCCCTGGCCCTAGATAATATGGTCTTGGATCTGCTCCCTTCTTCCCCTTAGCCCAATCTTAGATTAAATATATTTTTCCAGTCCAGCCATGGTAGTGCTTGCCTGTAATCCCAGCACTCTAGGAGGCTGAAGCAGGAAGATTGAAAGTTCAATCCCACTTTGAACAATTTAGCCAGGGCTGGACAGGGCTGGGAATGTAGCTCAGTGCAAAGGCCCTGAGTTCATTTCCCAGTACTGCCAAAAAATATTTTTACCCCGACGCATTATTGATATAGCTAAGGTGACAGTGTTCTAATTTTACTCTGCTTTTATGAAATAAAAATTAGCTAAGTGTATTTTTCATAGGAGGTAGGACAGTCTCATCAGACAAACTTCCTTTATCTTTTTCTTAAGTGGTATTGTGTCTCAAGGTGTCTAATCCTGGTACTCATGAAATAGTGAATTTAACATGTGTCTTTTTATTTAAAATACTTTCAGCAGTAATACCTTGAGAGTAGTACTTGTTTATCATG